AAACAGTCCTTGTGGTCCCTGCTGTCACTGAGCTGGGAAAAGAGGTGCAAAATGTTACAACACGAGAAGAACAGCAGGGGGCTCTGGGAATCCCCGACAGGCAGCACGTGACTAGTCCCTCGGCTGCCCGAGGAAAGGACTCTAAACCAAGATTCAAAGTTAGCCACACAGATAGAGAGGTGGGTAGCTGGATGTCAAGGAAGGGGAACAGCACGACTAAAAGCTGGAACATAATAAGAAAGGACAGGGCACTTTGAAGGAGGAAATGCTAAATGACTGAAGCAAAGAAGGGGCAACAGATGAGTGACAGTGCCGGGGAGATAAGCAAGGGACCCCAAAGCTGCTGGGCCAGGTTAAGGATTCAGAACTTCAATGAAAAACCAAGGAGGTGAAACAGAGATGCAGACAGATGTCTAAGAGTAAGAAATGTTCATTTTGGCCTCAGAGAGGAAAACGGGTTGGACCAGAACAAGTGCACATTGAGAAAGGCCATTGAGGAGGGACAGCACATCCTAAACCACTGCAACCCAGCAGGGCCACTGGTCCCAGTTCAGTCCTGGAGACCAGACTCCCCCAGGGCTCCATACCCGGGACACTGCCCCCGCCCTCCTGCCCGCAGAGCTCTCTCCAGGGAAGAGCTACAATAGCAAGGGAAGCTGGGCAGCAGTGGGCCCCTCAGTCTAACCTGGATGAAAATCAAACCAGCGAAGCTCACTCCTCAGCAGGTGGCCTGTCGGACTAAGTGAGCAGAAGGTGTGAAGAGCCCAACCCAGGATCCTCGAAGAAGGGTTCAACCTCGCCAAGCCTGGAACTCCTGACTATCTCTCCAGGCCCACGGGAGGGAGGCTGCCAGGCCTCCAGCACGGCCCCCACAGCAGGGCTCCCCGAGAGAAACGGGAGTCAGCAACACAGGGCGGAGAGCCCCAAAGGTGGGCAGAGGAGACGAGACATCTAGGAGACTGGCCCAGGATGGATCAAGGTCAAGGAGTGAGGAACAGGTGGGGAGGAAAGTAGAAAGGGGCCCTCGGCAGTAGAAAAGCACTAGGGTTTCAACAGGGAGCGGTTCCCTGGTGTTCAACAGGGGAGCGGTGAGCAGTTGAGAATGAGGACTATTCCAGCCAAGACGAGCTGCTGGCCGGCCAGGTACAGAATGTAAGCTGCAGTCATCTCCCTTCTTCCTTCCAGGCTGGCCCTGGGTATGATCACAGAAGAAAAGAGACATCATAGAAAATCTTGGACTTTCATACAACAAAAAGTCAGAGAATCCAAATGAAAAACAATCGGACTGGGGAAACAGCTGCAGTACATATGACTTTAAGAAAGATCAATTTCTAGAGCACACAAAGAGCTCATAGGCACAGATGAGAAATTATCAAGACTCCCCGTTTGCTAATTGTATAAAAGAAAATCAGTAAGTAAACACAGATGGAAATGTTCTGCGACTGAGAGGGATCAAAGGAATGCAAATTTTAAAACCAAGAAGCCTATTAAATTAGCCAAAAAAGAGTAAGTCTCACAATTAATCAGGTTGAAGCAAGACGTAGTCATA